CCTTTTAAATGGGTTAGGAGCTGACAGGTTCTTAATCCATTTAAAAGACAGAGCCACAGCAGCATTAGCTCCTGGGAGCTAACCCCACTGTGGCTCCCTGCTTATTGACTAATCGACGATTGACTAGCCGATTAGTTGGTTAAATTTAGTTTAACATCCCTAATCCTGATGTGGACAAGAGTGAATGGGGGTTTTTACTACCCAGTTGCAATTCCTCTTTAATAAAAAGAGCAAGAGCAACTGCAAGTGGCCTCTTGATCATCTAGAAGGGCTCTACAGGCCCTGCTGCCTGCCAGAATAGGCATTTGAACCAGGGAAACTCATACCATCAATGCCTATTTAATGGTTGTGTCCTAGCCTGAAATAGAAACACTGTTCTACACTATCAGTTTTTGCTGGAAGAGGCAAAGCAAAACTAGTGCTGACTAGCATATTATTGCACTTCATTTGCATAATCTATTCTGAGCCGTTTTTGTGCAAGGGGTTTTTGCACAAAAACGGCTCAGAATAGATTATGCAAATGAAGTGCAATAATATGCTAGTCAGCACTAGTTTTGCTTTGCCTCTTCCAGCAAAAACTGATAGTGTAGACAAAGCCCGAGGGAGCCAGCACATTGACATGTCTCTCAAGTCATTGGGCTAAGAGCTGTGGTAGGAGGTAAGAGATCAAGAAGTAAGGATGGGATGTGAACTCCCACCTGCTGGGCACACACCCAACCAGTACGCTACACAGGTCTGTTTGTTGAGGTTTTGGCTGGATGAATATGTACTGCAAGTGGATCAGCTTCAGCAGACAAAAGCAGATGAAGCCCACAAGTCAGCATAGCACCTATCCCAGCACTTAGGCCATTCACTTGAAAGGTTCCCTTCTCAACAAGCATAAAAAAAGGGGGATTTGAACCCCAAGCTAAGCACACACCAACCTGCTAGGCTCCACAGGGCTGATTGCTAGCCTTGTGACCCCCATGTATATGGAATGACAGTGGAACAACTGAAGCAGAACAGGGCGAGGCAGCAAACGCCTGGAAATCATTTCTTCATCCAGCAGTAGGGCATTCAGCCATAGCTGCTCAAGTTCCTTTTGAACCCACATCACCCACATAGGAAGTTAAGCACCCAGCTCACTGGACTACACATTAGGGCTGTCAATTGACCTCCATTAACGCCTGCAATTAACGCAGGACAGGATTAATGTGTTAATCCTTTTAATACATTAATCGCAGGCGTTAATGCTGCTCTGCCCCTTTGAAGTGCTGCTCCGGAGTGGCACTTCAAAGGGGCTTTGCAACATGGAGCTGGGGATCAGCTGGAGTCCCCAGCTAATCCCAGGCTCCTAATGCACTGTCTCTTTGAAGCACTGCTGCAGCGCTACATGGAGCCCAGGAGGTTTGATGCATTGCCTGCCAAGTGCTCTGGTGGCTAAGTCACTGGTTGCCGATGGGCAGGCTCCTTTTAAAAAGGTGCATTCTTGTTACTATGACAAGTGAAACTTAGACAACAGGAGGGGATGGGTGAGTGGATTCAGGAGCCAGTGTTGCAAGTTGCACTGCGTTTACTTGAACCCCTGAACTCTACAGGGCTCACAGAAATATGGTAGATCCCACTATAGTGACATGTCACAGTGTTCTCATGGTGAGTTTTGCTGATTGAGATCATATAGAAATGTTACGTATACCATGTACTGTTATCTTTAATTTCAATGCTTATTAATTTCAATGCTTATAATTTTTTTTCAATGCTTATAATGATACCCATGGCTTCCTTGCAAGACATAATTCCTAGAGCTCCCCTCTCTCTCATCCATTCACAGTTCTCTAGAAGCCCATGCTTCTACTCCACAAAGCTATTATTTACAACTGTTTTAGAATCAAGTTTCTGATCCTAAGTAGATGGTGTTTTTCTGCACTACAATATGACTACTCAGCATCCCCATCCCCATTTAGTTGTTTACTTCTGATGCTAGACTACGAAACCTCACTCTTTCTCTTTAACTGATGTTAAAATTGTCAGTAATTGATCAGTCTTTGTGTTTATGGTTTCCACAAACTCACATTGATCCTTGGTGCTTGAATCTTCAAAGAAATGAAATGTCAGCAGTAAAGCAGATGTCTCCATCTGTCAGGCTTAAGTATTTTGTTTTTCCTCTTTGGAAACTTTCTCTGCAGAGAAGGCATGGCCCTCAGTTCTTCTGGCTGCATAAAAAAGGCATGCAAAGTTACATATATTTTAAATAAAAATCAATGCATCCTACTATGTTGTTTACCTGCACTTGTATTTCTTGATATAGGCGCTCAAACCTTTATTTTCAATTCATTAATAATAA